ACAGGTGGAGACATCAATTGATCAATAAATGGATAGATGAATGGGTGGATGGATGGATAGATAGAAAGGTAGACTGACAGGCAGATAAGTAGATAGATCGATTGATAGATAATTGTATAGATAAATAGATGGATGGTTAGATCGCTAGGTAGACAGATAGGCAGACATGTAGTCAGGTAAATATGTAGATAGGCCAATTGGTAGGTAGGTAGATAGACAGACAGATAGATGATGGACAGAGAGACATGGACAGATGGATAGATGGATAGAGAAACAGATAGATATAGAGAGATAGACAGGTAGATAGATCCACTGATAGATAGATAAATACATGGATAGATAGATGGTAGGTGGTAGATGCTGGATAGATAGATAGTTGATGGATGGATAGAAAGATGGATAGATAGATGGATGGATGGTAGATAGATACACAGGTAGATACATAGATTGATAAATAAATGGATAGAGAACTAGATGGATGGATGGATAGACAGAAAGGTAGACAGATAGATGGCTAGGTAAGTAGATCAATTGATAGATAATTGTACAGATAGGTGGATGGTTAGATAGATAGACAGATAGGCAGAGACATAGACAAGTAGATACTTAGATAGGCAATTGATCAGTAGATAGACAGATGAGAGACATAGACAGATAGATGGATAGAGAGACAGATAGATATAGAGAGATAGACAGAGACAGACAGGGAGATAGATCCTCTGATACACAGATAGATGGATAAGTTCATAGATATATGGTAGGTGGAAGATGCTGGATAGATAGATAGATGATGGATAGATAGATAGATAGATAGATAGATAGATAGATAGATAGATAGTAGATAGATGGATAGATAGATAATTGTACAGATAGAGATGGATGGTTAGATAGCTAGATAGGTAGATATGCCGATAGGCCAATTGATAGGTAGATAGATAGACAGAGCGAGAGAGATAGATAGGTAGATAGATCAATTGATAGATAAATGGATACAGAACTGGATGGATGAATGGATAGACAGACAGACAGAAAGGTAGACTGATA